AAAGATTCGATAATTCAAAACACACAATTAAAAGGTAAGTAAATGGTAATTAAGACTTATCTATATAGTCTTTAACCTCATTTCCCCACTGTTTTGAATAATCGATCTTTAGGCATATCTTTTGTGAGAGCATTAGCCAAGTTATCCTTCGATCTCACATCGATCAAGGTGATAACTCCTTATTTTCTCAGATAATTCAACAACGCATGTCTCAATCTTATATGTCTTCTCTTTGAATTAAAGAGAGCATTTTTTTTTTAAACAACTTGGACAGCTGCTTGATTATCACAAAACAGGCTTAAAGAATTAATCTTTAGCCGAGTCAAAGGAATATCCATAATCAGATTCTTCATCCACTTTGCCTCTTCGCCGCCTAAAGCTAAAGCAAAAAGTTCTGATTCCATAGACGACAATGCAATACAAGTCTATCTTTTGGATTTCCAAGCAATAGTAGCTTCACCCAAAGTGAATACATATCCACTGGTGAACTTACTATTTCTGATTTCTGAACACCATGACGTATCAGAATATTAATCTACAATTAAAGGATAACCAGAGTAGTGTAGAGCATAATCTTTAATACCTTTAAGATATCGCATCAGCCTATCGAGGGCATCCTAATTCTCTTTACTAGGATTACTAGTGAAATGAATCAGCATGCCAACTGTAAAGGCTATGTCAGGTCTAGTGCAACTTGCAGCATATATGAGACTACCAATCAGTTTTGAATACTTTAACTGATCCATACTGGTCCCTTCATGAGGACTCGGTCTTTTTTTTTTTTTATAATCACATGGTGTCTCACTCAGTTTACACTCACTGTATCCCCAGGTAGAAAGTAGCTGCTCAATATAATGAGTCTGGCTAAGGGAGATAACTTGCCTATCAAAGCTTACTTTCATACCAAGAATGGTATTAGCAATACCAAGATCTTTCACATCAAATTCTGTAGCTAAATTAGCTTTTATGTCATTCACTACAGAATGATCAAAACCAAGAATTAACATGTCATCCACTAGTTGTCTTTACATCCATTTCATGCACTACATAGTGTTCAATAGATGTCAAAGCAAGAAGAATTCTTATAGTTGATAGATAACACACAGGTGAGTCGACACCAAAATAGTCTACTTCACTTTGTTGTCTATAGCCTTTAGCTACTAAAAGTACTTTGTATCTGGCTATCGATCCATCACTATTCAGTTTCTTCTTCACTACCAACTTACAACCTATAGCCTTAGCCCTTTCGGCAAATTGACTAGCTGTCAAGTAAAATTCTGCAACAGAGAGCTCATTTCATCATCTATGGCTTCTGTCCACAGTAGAGATTCCCTAGATCTCATTGCTTCCTGGTAGAAGAATGGATCATCCTCTAGATGGTAAGTGACAAAGTCCTCGCCAAAGTCTTTGGGAACTCTCTCTCTCGTAGATACTCTAACTGGAACTGATTCAACAGTCAGTTGTGTAGGGTAAGTGTCAGAAGGGCTTGCTTCAGATTCTATAGGAGATTCATAAATCATATCTGTAGATCCGGAAACACTCAAGCCATGTATTTGATAAAATTATTCTCAAAGAATTCTGCATCTCTGGATTCTATCACCGCATTTGTAGATAGATCCAAAAATCTATTTGCAGCACTGTCTTCTGCACTTCCTAGATATACACAAGTAATGGTTTTAGGTCCCACCTTAGGTCTTTTAGGATCTTGTATTCTTACATAAGTAATACATCCTCAAGTCTTAAGAGTATCATATCTACAAGAGCGCTTATGCCATATCTCATTAGGAGTCATAGACAACTTAGAGTGCGACAACTTGTTCAGGATGTGATTGGCAGTTAGAACTGCTTCTCCCCAATAGGAGGAAGGCATGCCAGCTGTAAGTAACAGAGTTTAACATTTCAGTTAATGTCCTATTCTTGCGCTCAGCAACACCATTTGATTGGGGCGAGTAAGGAGCAGTGGTTTCAAGTATTATGCCCTCCGAAGCGCAAAATTCCTTGAACCCTGTCATTGTGTACTCTCTTCCTCTATCACTCATAAACCTCTTATTTTCCAAGTTGAGTTGATTTTCTACTCTTGACTTAAAAATCTAGAACCTTTCAAAAAACTTCATCTTTCGATTTCAACAAATAAACATGAAAAAATGTAGAAAAATCGTCTACGAATGTTATTAAATACTTCTGACCGCCTCTAGTAATATAATTTCTAAAGTCACAAAGGTCAAAATGTATCAGATCAAGAAGTTGTGTGCTTTTAGAAACTGACTTAAAAGGTTTTCTAGTGATCTTAGTTTATGCACATACTTCACATCTGTCAAATCGAATAGAAGCATTTAATGGAGTATCAAGAGTTTTAGTTAGATGTTGCATTTTCCTATAGTTCACATGTCCAAGTCTATTATATAACAACTTTGGATCAATCAAAGTTGAACTCACATGGTTTATGCTCACAATTTCTAAACTCAATCTATACATACCATTAATCATGAATGCACAACCAAAATAACAAGAGTTAACAACTAAAATTACTCTATCATTCATAGTTGAGAAGGCATACAAGCTTTATGAAGCAAAGATATAAATTTTCTTTTAAATAAAAGTACTACTCTAACTTGTTTTAGAGTTAGTAATTTACTTGAAGAAAGCACCAAATTTGCAGTTCCAACATGAGTCACATCTATCTTATTACCACTGCAATTTTCCACTGTGTCTTTCACTTCTATGATCTTAGTGAGTAAATTTCTATCATTTGTAGTATGACAGGTAGCACCGTTCTCCAACCACCACTCAAAAGAGACACTGGCCTTTCCATTCTTCATCATTCCAACGAAAGCTTGAGGCTCAGGTTCATTAGTTAACATATTAGCCTCATTTTGTGGTGTGTTGTTTTTTTTTTTAACTTATTTGGTAGCTTACACTCTGCTGCCCAGTGATCTCACTTTCCACAGTTATGGCACTTGTCCTTCTTCTTCTTTTAAAGATAGTCTTTTTGGCCTCTAACTATGAAGAAGATTCACCTTTTGGTGACTTGGACTTCTTCTGAGGTTTATTGGAATGTGAAACTAAGTAGGCAATTAACTTTTATTGTCCTATTTGTTCCAAACTCTTCCTAGAATAGTTTTGATCCTAAATATAAATAAACCCTTTTAATTTATCCAGTTCACTTTGTTCTTTCAGTCTTGAAAGAACTCTATTCAGCAGATAGTTTACTCAATGCAAGATCGACAAAAAGATTATCAGATATATCAGATTTATCAACTTTTAACTTGTTCCTTATGTTCTCAATTTTAATTAACTGAATTCGTATTAAATTTGAATTCAAATAACTTCTCTGCTATGAGAGCTTTGGAGAGCCCTTCTTGTTTTGGAACTAAGCATTCAAGTGATTTCATATCTTTTTTCATCGTCTTATATTCACTACAAGTCATAGCGAGCAATCCCTACAAAATTATTCATCTTTGTTCCATTGATATTAATCCACAATTTTCAATGGTAAATGCAAGATCATTTAATATATTATGGAATATTTCATGTTCTTCCATACCAAATTGAACATGTAATTTCCAACCATAAAATTCAATAACATCAAATGATTTCATTTCATAATATCATAGGAATTATTTTTAGGCATTTTAATCAGAGCTAACAGTAAGAAAGAGTGCACCTTGTAGCTCTCTCAGACTTCGCAAATTAAAGCAAAAGCTCCAACTTTCATCAACTGCTCTGTAGACTTAGAATTTGCCAAAACAGACCCCAAAAACAGATCCGGAGCGCCCAAAAACCTTAAGATGGACTACCCCTATGGCCAGAAACTCACCGGAACATTTTTCTGATTTTTAAAATGTCCCATACAGAATATTCCTCAACAAACAGAATATTCCCTCGGAATATTCCTTTTCGCAGGAATATTCTTTTTAGCATAAAAGTGTACCTATAACTTCAAACAGTCATATCTCCTTCGTCCGATCTCCGTTTGAGGCGAATGACCACTCAAAACGATCGTCTCGACGAGTAGAACAAAGCCCAATAGGTTTCACTTTCTGAAATTGGCTAAAATTTCCGGGATCTGGACCGAAAGGTTGCGGCTGCAGTATCTTCAAACTCAGATCCTGAAAAATCCTTCCGTCGAATCACGAAAGTGATTTAAAATATGAGTTCCTCTCGTTGAGATCTTCGAATAGACACCTTACTCGCTCAAATCTGACACCCGAAGCTAATACTTTAAGATTGTTGGAGGTTAAGAGTTTGAGAGAGAAGGGTTCAGAGGTGCTTAAAGTATTACACCTTGAGACATCAAAGTTTGGAATGCTCAACAGTGTTACCTCCAGCTTAGGAAACCCTAGATATAATGAAGCTATTGGGCTCCAGCCCATATGGACCCAAATAACCATGCTTTCACTTATTGGGCTTATATGTGAACATACTATTGGATTATATTATTAATATACCCAACAATATTTTCTCACATTGTGACTCTTCGATTTGCGTATAATTTTTTTTTTTAATAAATGTGGGACTCACAACTAGTTGAGTCACAACATGAAAATTGAATTATCATGTAACACGAGAAAATCAAATCTCTATAATAAAATATGAAAAACTATATAAATATAAAATGACTCTGTATAAATACAAATTGTTCAAGAAGAAAAGCCAATTTTTAACATATTGACTGTTGATTCTATCATCAATTGTTTAATTCATTAATAAATAATGTTAAACAAATAAATAGCTGGTGGAATGAATATTCTATGCTCTTCCAATCATAGCATAGGGAAAATACCAGGATTCACTTCCAAGCAATTGGATCAAAGATTTCAACCGCACATGGTTTTGCCTTTAAGTTCCTCTCAGCCTAAAATTGCCTGTGGTTTCTTGCTCCGTATTTGAACTCACCCAACTTTTACAACTCTCAAGTACCCACATTCACATATATAAGGATAAAAAAACCTTTACCCTACTCAAATCAAATCTATTGATCCCTCTCAAACAAATTCAGAATGAACAAAGCCAGCATGAGTGCAGCAACAAAGTCATGGATAGTGGCATCAAGTATTGGAGCAGTGGAGGCCTTGAAAGACCAATTGGGTGTTTGCAGGTGGAACTATGCTCTGAGGTCACTGCAACAGCATGCCAAGAACAACATCAGATCATACACTCAGGCCATGAAATTGTCTTCTGCATCTTCAGCTGCAGTTTCCAATAAGGTGAAGAGAACTAATGAAGAGTCTATGAGGAAAGTCATGGACTTGAATTGCTGGGGTCCCAATACTACAAGGTTTTAATGTGGATAGTGAAAGCCTATGTAATCCCATTAATCATTATGCTGCCATTACTTCTTTGTGCCCCCTGTTATGTCATATCATTCTGTATCATATTTATTCAATTTTTATCCATGAAATGTTATATATGACCCAATGCAAGAAAAATTGAGGTCTGTTATACAAAAAAAAGAAAAATTGAGGTCTATTCTTCATATCTTATTTATTTTGTTTTCATTTTAGTACATGGATTAAATCTCTCTAATATTCGGTGTTGTGAGAAATCTAGTGTTAGAAGAGAGAATTCAATTAATCCTAAATCTTCAGATAGGCTCTGAGACACCCAAGGCACCTAGAGTGTTTAGAAACATAATCTTTCAATACATGCTCTGTCTAGTCTTTTGCTTCTCGGCTCAGCTTTATCCTTATTTTGAGTGTTACTTTGGTTAAAATAACACTCATATTATCTGGACTATGTAGTGAAGCCACTCTCTTGGGCTTGTAGGATCTGGCTTTTTTACAATCTCAATAGATAAGAGTCTTTTCATCGAGAAAGAAATAACTAAATCATCAAAATAATATATAAAATAGGAGCTATCACTTCTCATGCAACAACAAAATTCAGGCTTTTTGACTAGTTTGGGACTTTTTCCGTTTAAATGTACCAATTTGGTATATGATTGGGAGATATTATCGTTTGGAGTCTTTAAGTGCTGCGGGAGACCCAGCGTATTTAAATGACGCCTATAGATCCCCGCAGCACTCATATGATTTTTTTTTTCTCCTAAGCGAGTGCTCCCCCTATCCCTCACGATATTCAATAATTAATTTTATTTATTTAAATAAGTGCTGCCCTACCCCCATACGACACTAATCTAATTTTTTTTCTCCTAATCCAGTGTCACCATATCTCTCATGACACTTAATAAATAATTTTTTTTATTTAGATAAGTGCCGCCCTGCCCCCTGTACGGCACTCATCTACTTTTTTTTTTAAACCCCCAATTTGTGAATCTCCGTTTTGAACTTCTGCGAATAATAAAACAAAAATTTTATAAATGAGAATGAAAAGCATACAATCTTGTCGAGATGGAGACAGAGAGGGTCAGAGGCAAAATCGGAGGACAAGAACCTTATCAATGGTGTCTCTGGTGATGGAATCAACCTCTAATTTGTTAGACAACATTGTTAACAGGTAACTCATTCATTCACTTTCATTACAATTTAATTTCGGAATATCAAATTCAATTACAGAACAATTGCCTGCGTTTATCTTAATTGATTGAGACATATGAAACCTGCCTTTTTTCCTTTCTTAAAGAGCGACGAGGAGGTGATGGTTTTTTGGTTTGTTTCCCTTCCTTGTTTCATGATGATTTTTTATATTATAAAATAGTTGAGAAAACCAGGTATGTGGTGATGTTAACACAATAACAATAATGGAAGATTGAGAAAACCCAACAAGGAAATCTCTCAATGCCATCAAATAGTAGTCATCTCTGGTTTTGGGGATTTTGTTGTTAGGAAGAGCCACTGTGGGCAACGACGTGGTTGCACAAGAGGCGTCAGTACAGACAATACATGGTGAGGAAAGAAGATGGTGTTGAGAGCTGGGGACACCATTAATAACTGTTAATAACCCTGGGATACAACACCCAAAAGCTAGCTCAAGGGGTGAGAATATCTAAGGCCTTATAAAGGCCCATTTTTTGTTTATCTTTTTTGTGCTTTTTTTATTTTATTTTAATTCCATTTTTTAAAGTGGAGGACGGTGAGGCTTTGATACCTTGGGATATACCACCCCAAAAGCTAGCTCAATAGGTGGGAGTACCAAAACCCCATATTAGTTTACCATCCAATCAATGTGAGACTATATATCTCAACAAATTTGGTTGGGATAATAAGCTTGCTGGGATTAATATGCTGTATTTGAGAAGGGGGTAATTGTTTTTTTCAGCCAAGTCTGGTGGGGTATTCTGCACAAGGAAGAAAATTTTCGTTCTAGCCAACTCGGTGTGGGGTCTTCTGCATTTGACAAGGTAAATTTTTGCACTCTGTTCTCATCTTTTCTTTGGCATGCTTTCCACTTGAGATTTCTATTATTCATGAAACCTACCTACAAAATCTGATGCATTTCGACGGGAAGACCTAACGTGGTGAGTACTTTTTTATTAAAATCAAACCAATATGCTGATCCAATCGATTGTGTAACTTGTGTTAGTGAATCAAAATGGGGATCTTTAAATTGTCTGTGTTTTCTGATTTGAGTTATTAGTGATAATAAACGTTAAAAATTCAAATAAACTAAAATACAAAGAAACATGATGATATTTGTTTATTAAAATTTTAGATAATAGTTATGAGTAAATATTATTATGCATTCACTTTTTTTTTTTTTTTTTGATAACATTATGCATTCACTTTTACATACCTAAGTATGAACTCATCCATAAGAGTAATTTTCAAAAGAGTAAATAGAAAAAATAAGAGTAAATATTTTTTTTGGTCCTCAACAAATTTCACGATATCCGTTTTAGTCCATAGCAAATAAAAAGGCCCATCGTGGTCAGTAAACAATTCAAAATAGATCCTTTTAGTTAAAATCGTGGTCTCTAAAAAATTCAAAATAGACCCATTTTAGTCCTTTTGCTGAGGACCAAAAAAACGTATTTACTCAAAAAATAATTTCTAATAGATGCATGTAATTTAGTCATACTAATTTCTATAAGGTTAAATTTATCACACAAATCAATAAAATATGTATCCGTTAGTCAAAATTAATTCATGAATTAATAGTATTAAAAACTAATTTATCTGATAAAATGAATATTTCAAAGGTAAATGTAAAGTTGAAAGAAAATTTTTGAATTGAACTTATTAGTGATTTTTTTTTTTTTATAACAGAACTTATTAGTGATTTAATTAGATAATAACATGTTATTAGTGATTTAGATATTTAGATAAGGGAAAAAAGTATCTAATGTTACTTTAGATAACTTTATCTAATGTTCATCAAAACGACGCCGTTTTGGGGTTAAAAAATTAAAAAACTAGAATGATAAAGACTATTATAACCCTGAAATAAATTAAAATTACAAAAATACCATGATTTCCGCCTCAAAACAACGTCGTTTCAGTGAACATTAGATAAAATTATCTAAAGTAACTTTAGAAAACACAATCCCTTTAGATAATGAGATAATATTCATATAATTAGATAATAATATTTCATATGGGTATGTCCAATGGCGGACCCACACTATTGCTAGTGTGGGCAGTTGCAGACACAAGTTTTTGTGAAACAAAATTTTTTGCAAAGAATTAACGGGTGATTGGAACAAATCATAATGTAAAATATGTCAAGGTTTAAATTAGTGTTAAGGACACTGAAAAAGTTGACTAGTGTGCTGTTGGAAATACCTAGCCACGAGCCTTTTAGGTATAAAGTTGGCTTTACATTCAAAAATATTAAAATTTATTGGAGATTTTATGAAATGTTGTACAACTCATAATGTAAATTTTTTACCCTCACTTGTGATATATAATTATATTTAATATTAAAATAATAATAAAAATAGGACAAGATTATTTTGAATCGCTATACAAATAAAAATCTTAACAAATAATCATTGCTTGAAATTATGATAGCTTAGTTGACTCTTGATTATTATTTTTTATGTTAAGATGAAGTTTTTTTTTCTTTTATTGTTTATATTTTTTTTAATGCATTTAAAATATTTAAAAAAAAAATTCAATGTCACTAAATGTGCAGACATAAATAAAATTTTCTGGGTCCACTATTGGGTATGTCTGAAACAGTTGCAATGATCACAGGTCTTCCTTCGGAAGATGAACCTGTTACTGGCATGTCTGAAACATGAGAGTTGAGAGCTTTGGTACCACAACTGCTTGGGAGGACCCCGAGTGCATCTGATTTGAAGGGTGGTACTCTAAAGACTTCATGGTTGGACAAAATTTTTGTAAATGTTGAGGAATGGATGGAGGATGAAGAGAATCTTCTCCGATTCACGCAAGCATACATATTACGCCTTATTGGAGGCTTTTTACTTGCGGGTCACAGTGGTGGTAAGGTGCACCTCCGATATCTACCTTTTCTTAGTACTTGGAGGTGTGTGGGCGATTTAGCTGGGGATCGGCAATGTTGGCCTTCCTTTATCGGGAGTTGTGCATAGCTACCTCACCTGATCGGATTGAAATATCCGGTGCATTTGTGGTGTTGCAAATATGGGCTTGGGCTAGTTTTTTTACCATCGCTCCAGATACTATTCCACATTTCCTAAAGTTTGACGATAGCACACTTGTTGGTGTAAAGTATGTTAATCTGACATGCCATGTTTGATTCTTATGTCTATTAGGTGGTATTTATTGTACATATATTATATTATGCAGATGGACCTATCATAAGACAATTTTTCATGATCTATCGTGGTATCGAGAGAGGTTTGATAGGGTGACCAAGCATCAGGTGCATTGTATTTATATTCCTTTGGTTTGCCCCTCAAATGTCCATCCTGTAGCACCTTCATATATTCTACCATTGTAATATATGATTGCATAAATTGACCCCATATCTAGAAGAAAACAGTAAAATATTAGGCAATAACATATTTTACGAAAATTAGAAATGGGATAAACCAAATAATTTATTCTAAATATCATTATTAAAATACTAAACACAACTCATCAATGACCAATTATTATGTCAAATATCTAAATATAATTAATTACACATGAACATAAAAATATATTTTATTATGTAAAATCTCTATATATTAATTATACATGTCTATGTTAGGATACATAAAAGAATTAATTTAAAATTATAACAACTATCCCTAAATAAAACAAACCCTAAATATTAATAACAAATTATTTGTTCTAAATTATATTATTAAAATACTAAACACTACTCATCAATGACTAATTATTATGTCGAATATCTAAATATAATTAATTACACATTAAAGTAAAAAATAATTATTATTTAAAATCTCTATATATTATTAATTATACATGCCTACGTTATTAGGATAACACAAAATAATTAATTTAAAAAATTATAACAACTATTTCTAATTAAAAGAAACCCTAAATATTTACAAATTAATTATTTTAAATCACATAATTAAAATATTAAACACTACTTTTCATTGACTATTTATTATGACAACTAGGGGTGTTAGCGGTCTGGATTGGATCGATTTTAGAAGCAGAAATCATCTGATCCAACCCCTTCGGTTTGGATTTTTTTTCAAATTCGATCCGATCCAATCTAATTTTTTTCGGTTTGGATTGGATCGGTTTTCGGTTTTTTGAAACTTCTAAAATTTATTCATGATTATTGCGCAAATAACATCTTTTGTATATATTGGTTTTGTAAAAAAAAAAATTAAATACAAAAGCATCAGTAAACAATAATATAATTTATTTATTTTTGGACAATGAGACATGAAGCTCTACATAGATGAAATTTTGTTGATGAGATGTGACTAAGTTTTTTCTTGGGTTTAGATGATGGGTTAATGGGTCTTGGGTTTAGAAATTTTTGGGCTATGATTGGGGAAAGACCCAAGTAGGTAGAGGAAAATTAATATATTGGATCGGTTTTCATCTGCCAATCCGAAAACCGATCCAATCCAATTAAATTTTTTTTTCGGTTTTCGGTTTTTCGGTTATCGGTTTTTCGGTTCGGTCACTGCAGTTTGAATCGGTTTAGATCGGTTGATGAACACCCCTAATGACAACTATATAAATATAATTAATTGCATATGCTTGTGTTAGTAAAAAAACTAGTGTATTCTAAATATTATGTCAGATATCTAAAATAATCAAAAATATTAAATGATTTTAATTAATTAATAAAATGGAAATGATGTTAACTTGTCCTAGAGCTTTTTTGCTTTGGAATGATCTTCACTTTGCTGCAACCGTTTTGCTGCAACCATATTCTCTGCAAATGGAAAAAAAAATAAAGGAGAAGAGAATGCTGCAAATGGAAAAAGATCAGATAGAAGAATGAAACAGATTTGAAATTTTGCTATACGAATGAAAGCGAGAACACAGAGGTAAAAAATTAGGATAATGTGGGCTCAGACGATTAGGGTTGTGCCACTTGGCATGCCGTCCGAGTTCCCCAACGGGGCGACACTCAAAAAATAAAAATAATTTTTTTTAAATAAATATCGTGGGGGGGGGGGGGGATGAGCGACACTTAAGAAATAAAAAAATATATAATTAGTGTCGTTGGGGGAGTGGGCGGCACTGCGTTTGGAAAAAAAACTTATATGAGTGCCGCAAGGGTTTGGAGGCGTCATTTAGAGACGCTGGGTCCTCCGTGAGGCACTCAAAGACCTCGAATGGTAATATCTCCCAACTATATACCAAATTGGTATATTTACATGAGAAAAACCCTTAACGGATCAAACAGCCGCAAAATTCCTCTTCTCCTGTTGCTGATACAAAATTATGTGGGTCATGTTCCATTAAAAAATTACAAAAAAAGCATTGCACGTTTCCCAATGGGTCAGCTAGAAGAAAACTTTTGCTGCTATCGCAGAGGAGCGAAGTTACAGTGGTCCCGGAACAAAAAAAATGGTGGGACTGAGACGAGAGAAAGAGAGAAAAGAAAAGAGAGAAGAGAAAAAAAAATTAATGTCAATTTTTAAGTGAAAGAACCTGAAACACATTAAAAATTTCCGTCACAGAGAACTAAATTTCCGTATAAAATATTAACAAAATTTTATCTGGTAATTTTGGTCAAATTCCTTCTTGGTGGTTGAAAAACAAATCTAGGATAAGATAGTTTAGAAAAACAAATCGGTTCAATCAATCGAAGTGATCACTTTTGCAGGGTTTTTTTTTTCAAATAAGGATGTTTTAGATTCCATCCTATTAACAGTTTACGAGTGCTGATGATTACTGTTGCGCGAATGGTGTGAGCAAAAGAGAGAAAAGTTCGTTATTTGTTCTTCTTTTTTTTTCTCAAGGAAGAAACATATCAACAAAGGAAATAAAAATAAACAAAATTGTTTCACAACATTTATAGAGAATTGCCAAACTACACATAGGACAACATGGAAGTGATGGTAAAATGATAAACTTGTAACTATAAAAAAAATAAAAATGATAAACACTAAATAGTGGTAGATCAGTTGGCGCATGAGAGCTAAGTAGGTGGAGGTAAGATCATGTGTTCAAATCTCTCCAATATTACTTTTGGAAGAGATTTAAAGCTTTACTCCTGGACTCGCCCAAAATCGGATTAACTGTGAAACAATGAATCGATCGGAATATTTCAACCAAAAAAATGATAAACTTGTACATCAACACAGGCCATTAGTTTGAATAATCATTCTGCTCCTAAATGTCAGAACACTCTTGACTGAGGACGTGAAATTAGCCAATACAATAATTAGCTCACACGAAGAATTAAAGCATTCCAGAGTTTTGGTCATGCTCTTTCACATCCTGCCACTAAGCTGCATCCACTTGTTTAATGATATCTACCATCTAGCAGGCCCTTTATTTACACTAAATTCTCTTGAACTCGAAAAGTCAAGGACCGTTTAGATGAGCTTCTAAAAAAAAATGTTATGCGTTGTTTTTTTTAAAAGATAAAATTATTTTGTGTTTGGATATATGATATAAAAATCACTTTTATATAAAAAAGTTTGTTGGATGTTAAAATAAAAAAAAAACACTTTTTATATATTAAATTACAATAAAAAAGAGATAAAATAGCATGATCGTAGGATAAGAAGAGATAAAATAGGTATGATAAAATGGGGTTAAAATTGTATTTTAAAAATTTATATTATCTTTTTTCCAAAAAAAAGATAATATATTATCTTGTAATTTCTGCTTTTTTTTAAAGCAACCAACTACTGGCTAAAAATAAAAGCATAAATTTAACTTTTATTTTAAATTTTGCTTTTACAAAAATTTGTTATCCAAACATCTAAAAATTCTCAAAAGGACTTTTATTTTTAAAAAAAGTAACTTTTTTAGCAATAAAAGTCCATCCAAACGGGCATAAGGGGGTGTTTGGTTTAGGTGAAATCTTTTTTTATTAGGAAAATGTAATTACTAGGGATTTGCAGTGAAAGTGAGTTAGATAACAAAGTTTTTAAAAAAGTTGTTTGGTTGAACAAAATTTTACTAAGAAAATTGAGTAAAATTCTTGAATGTGTGTTTAGTTGAAAATAAAATATTGATGAGAAAAATTATTGAAATTACAAAATTATCCTTTTAAAAATAACACTTTACAATCCAAAGTCAGGGGTAATATTGTCACCGTTTTGTACCACATTATTAACTTATCCGGTTTTCAAAAAAATATCAGCTTCCAAGTTGCATTCAGGAACAATGCTTTGTCGATTTTTTAACATGCAATTAAAGAAAACTAGGCAACTGACATTCATGGGTAAAAATCATGAGATCCGTGAACCAAACGTGGAGATCAGTTAAAGCTGAAATCACTTCGCTGGGGAAATTTTCAAAACTCCTGAAGCAAACACCCCCTAAGTGTATTTTTATTGTTTTATTGCAGTTTTTTAATAAGGTAATCTAGAGCCAGTTTGTATTTTCTTTTTATCTTTCAAGAATAGCTTTTTTTGAGAAAAAAAAAACACTTCTCGAAAAAAAGTTTGTTTGGATGCCTACTTTTAAAAAAAGTATAAGTCATAAAAAAATCTAAAACCTATTTTTTTAAGGGTTTGGTGTTTGTTATTTTAAATGACATAAGTTATGTCATTTTAGGAGAGAGATAAACACAAAAAATGAAAATCATGGGAGAGAAAAAATGGGTGATTTTTTTAATTTAAATTTTAAATAAAAAAAATTATTTTGTATCTATCTCTCTTAAAATAACATAATTTTATATCATTTAAAATGACAAACACTTTTTCTTTTTTTTAAAGCTAAAAATTTTAGCTTTTAAAAAAAACAGGAGTCAAAAATCAATTTTTTTTTTTAAAATTCAAATCTTTTTTAAAAATTTAAATAATTTTAACTTTTGTAAAAAGTACTTTTAAAATATGTAAGGCATATAAAGGACTTTTTTTAAGAATTCAATACAAACGGACTCCTAAATAGTGTAAAACAAGGGCTTAATTTAAATGAGGTGAGTGTAAGTCTAGTGTAAGATTTAAAATATCAAGATAAAATAACTGTATTATTAATTTGTCTTCTTCTCCCCTAGACAATGGCATAAAATCAAACTCATCCTATAAAAAATAAAAAATAAAATTCAAACTCATACTTTATGTTGAAAGTTCCGAATACATTATAATAAACGAAATGCTTTTGGTTGTGGAATCGATAGGATAGGAGTAACGAGAGTGAAACACTTTTAATAATTTGCGTGCTTGTTGCCTTGTTGGTCATATGAATACGAGAGATAGGGAGTCAAGGGAAAATTATAGTTGCACATATTTTTTACTCTTTATTAATACTGTATTTTAGAAAAAAGAATTAGAGAGAGAAAAATATCTAAAGGTAAATTATCTTATTTTATTATAGAAAAAATAGCATGAAAATAAAGTAAAAAATATGTATAAAGAACACTTATTGAGAATAAAATAATATGAATAATAATACTTAATGGACATTTCATAATATCGAGTCTAGAATCAATAAAAATCAGAAAATATTTATTTAAAAATTCAATTTTATATTTAGAAATGATTAATTGAAAAAAGAAATGATGCTGACAATTGGTTAGCCAATTATTTCTACTACTTTCTCGTGGGTGAGATTGTACCCTGCCAAAATGATCTTTCTAGAGTGTCTTTACTTAGATTTGTTGCAATGTTGCTATTTCTTAAAGGCTTAATCCCCTTCAATGTATCAATAAAGAAAATAGAACTCTATTTTATTTTATTATTTCACTTTTTATTGTTATAAGAAATAACATCAAAAAGTTAGTTAAAAAACAAATATCTTTGAAATCCAAACACAAGATTTGACTTGTACCAAATCAAATTCCATTTTCATTTTTTAAAATATCAAAAACTATAATAAAATTATTCATATTTCTATCCAATTCACTTAGTTTATGGAAAAGCTGAAAACTAACATTTGTAAAAAAAAAATAAATAATAAAATTAGGAGAAAATTGTTTCTCATTTTAAAAGATAGAAGTATGTGTCGTTTTATGTTAAACCACTGGTTTTTATACATAGTAGATAGTTTTTTTTATATTTTCTCTCCTATTATTATAGAGAGAAAAAGTTCATATACTTTAAAATAACAAAATATTTTTCTCTAAAATTATTCATATTTCTTCACCTCACTTCGGAGAAAATTGGTTATGAAACATCACATTAAAAGTAAGAGAAGAGAGATACAGAGTCTAAACTAGTCTTCATTGCCTTATAGCTGCCACTGATACAAGATGAGAAACATAATTGCCTATCTTCTTAAAGTACAAGATGTTAATTCCTCCATGTATTCACTTCCATGCAATCCAATAGATGGAGGGAAAAAAAACAACCAAAAATAAAATTAAATAAATGGGTCCTAACTCCTAATCCTAACTCACCAGAAAAATCAACAAAGCCAAAGATTTAAGATCTAAGACCAAAAGGGTCCCCAGCAAATCAAGTGTATGATATTCTCAGCCTTCTGAGTCCTCCTCTTCTCATCAATATTGCTCCTTTTGGACTGCTTTGCAATACCAGAATCCATATGCCACATACCACTGCTTCCTTTATTGCAAGCAGGTTCTGTTACTGAACCATTTCTTTGCTCCAACAAGAGTGTTTTGAACGCGGTCTCCATTTTGCACCCTCCTCTATTACTATTCATCTTTCTCCCTCTAATTCTCTTAACCAAGACTACAAAGTCTTCGAGACAGTGAACAAAAGTGAAATTGATCACTTTGACAGAGGACTTATCTTTCTAGGTGGGTTTATACTTTTTATATATGGGTTTTATATATGTGGTTTATCCTTTATACTTTATGCATATGTTGAAAATTGAGTGATTTTTAAACTTAGTTCTGGAATTTTCTGAGGGAAGTGACACTCTTCTTAGAAACCAGGGCTCAGCTCCTAGATTTTGTGACACCGGTTTTGTAATACAACTACTTTTTTGCCCTTGTTTTTTTTAGTGGTACAGCAAAAACTAACTCCTAATAAAGGAAATGGCCATGAAGTCAGCGAGAAGGACCCCTTTGTAACCTTCTTAACCTGATGGAGGTTCATTGGATATGATGGTGCCTTGTGACCGACCCACAAAATATTTGTTTGTTTGTGACAAATATTTATAGGGTTTTGTAAGAGTTATATTGTAAGGAAAATGATTGTGTAATGTTATAGAGATTCGTTTTGCGTGCCGTAATTTTTTATTTTTTTTTCTTCAAAATGTGTGGGTCCCACAAAATGTTGTGTGTGTAGGAAAGTTTGTTATATCATGTTAAATGACAAATGCAAATCCTATATTTATATCAACTTCTTAAGTTTATATTTATAATTTAATGTTACTAAGTAAGTCTGCATGATGAAAAAGGGGGGATGTCATTTTAACTAGAATTTTGTTATGACATTCAGGTTGATGTGCCGTGTTCGGGTGATATGAATTCGACAAAAATACAAACACAATCAACTCGAATCAACGTGAATATGATATATATAATTATTAGGTTTGTTCTGTATGTAGGAGATAAAATTTATCTTTTATAACATGAAAAATATTAAACTCATAATTAAAATATTTGATACAAACATGGCCTGTTTATTGCTTAAGATGATACGACACGAAATAAGTAACTTATTAATTTTATGGGAGAAGTTATACTTATTACTTTTTTTTTTACTATCTCTTATTACCAAATTTTAAGCGTTGATTTTCGGCAATCTAATAATTATAATTTTTTAGGTCATACTTATTAATTAATTATTAATTTTCAATAAATTATAACCATTAGATTGACAGCAATTAACAGTTAAGATTTGGTAGTAAGAGGTAGTAAGAAAAATAGGTAGTAAGTATAACATCTCCCTAATTTTATTTCTTAAGTAACTTGAAATTAATAAATAAAAGTGAGATAAGTGGAAAAAAAATATTATTAAATTGTTTAATTTAAACGGATTGATACGGACACAATATCCATAATACGATATAAAAAAATTTCATATTACTTTTTAATCGACATAAACATGATACAAATATGAATATGAGTTAACATAAATAAGAAAAATCCATATTGTGTTGGGGTCGAATTGAAAGCTGACGTCCATATTTACACAAATATGCATGTGTTTTATTGATACCGAACTCACCTCTAATATTTATGAGATGGTCCGGTGTATTAACTTTTCTTGATTCGTTGGGCCAACGTATTCAATTCTTTTAAGAAAATGATGATGCGTCCGGCTTTATAATTATTGGGCTAATAAAATGAAGGCAATCACAATTGGGCTAGTTCATTAGAAACTTTAATTCCAAACCCAACTACAATAGGAACTCCCTTTAATATTTTGTAGAAAGAGAAAAGTTGAAATAAAGTGGAGCGATAATCACAGCCTCACATTTATATTCATATTTCATAGGATGGAAACTAAGAGAGGGAGTGAAAATCCATTCATGAAAATATCTTGGTGTAAAGAATAGAAAGTAGAAAGAATAGGTGAGAACAAAAAAGCAAAAAGGAATGTCATAATAATTCCAATAATCAATTCCCCAACTAACAACAAACCCACACCAACAAACCTAGCCCACATATGTTAATGTCCCCTGCATCAAACCACACCTAACTTAATCTCCCATCATTAATGCCCCTCACCCTTCAAAACCCAACCCATCCCTCATTACTTTTAATTACCTTCATACCTATAGTATCATATAAAACATCTAACATATTATACTATGCTACTTAATCCTCATAAATATATTTATGGGATTGCATCTTCTCAAGCGGTAGAAGAAGATGTTTTTTTCAACTGATACAATTAAATGGGTCCCACTTATTTAAAAGAAAAAAAAGAATGAAATGAAATATTGGCACACACACCGATCTCTCACTGGCAGGAGAACATGAATTTTGCTGCAACAGAAGACTTATTTTGCCCTATATTTATATATGAGATAAAATCTTTTGACATCAGTATCAAATTTAAAGTTTGACATCTCATCTAAAAGTCGTTAGATTAAAAAAGATCAATTCTGTCACATGCTTACAAATCAGAGTCGTTAATCTTAATTATATATACCTTTCTATGTTTTAATTTTAAGGAATTAATGTTTCTTATGTTGTAAGAGATAATTTTATTTTTCACATACATATAAAAATGTATGGGATCCACGTAAGATCATACGAGAAAAAGAAAAAGAAAAACATGGATATCATATACTTTCTTTCATATATATGTAAAAAATAAAATTTATTTCATAATTATTGTTTTATTTTTTAAAAATAAATGGAGGAGGAGGGTGTGCATTAAATAAAACGCTACCTGAAGGACACGTTGCGAGTGGAGGGACGTCGGCATAAAGTCGTTGATTGCTTTCTTCTTCAACTTGAGAATTCGTTTGAAGATTAAGTCCAGAGAACAAAACGGTGCGTTTCTTGAGTCAATTTTTGAGTTCCTGGTCGGAGCCCTAATTCGATCACTTTCCGGCGAGAATATGGCCATCGCCGGCCACCAGAAGCCGAGCTCCGACGCTAAGCTCTTCAGGCTTTGTCCCTTTTGGAGTTCGGGGAACATTTCTTCGTCTTCCGCGTACAACAACCACTCAGAAGGGAACGCTCAAGGACCTTCTCCCAAAACGGTGTCGTCCGTCGCTAGGTCGCTACTCCCTCCCCGTCGTAGACTCCGTCTTGATCCTTCAAGTTATCTCTACTTTCCATGTAAGCCATTTTCTGATTCTCTTTTCTTTCTTTCTTTCTCTCTCAATTTTTTATTTTTTTATTTTTGAGTAAAACGAAGTAACTTGAATTCAAATTCAGTTCCTTTACTTTCAAGACACTTTAAAAAAATAGTAATATTAAAAATCACCTTATTATCAACTTAAGTCACGTGTGTAAATGATAACATGAACGAGGTTTCTGTTTTGTTGGTTCTGCTTGTTTTTCTGTGGCGTGTTTATTAATTTAATGTTTAATACTGAAGTTTTGGTTTTGTTTGCTTTGAAGATGAACCGGGCAAGCAGGTAAAGAGTGCTGTTCGATTAAAAAACACTAGCAAGTCTCGTGTTGCTTTCAAGGTATTGATGATTGGTTCTGTCTGTGGACTCATGCATGCGTGTTTATTATTTTTTTTTCTTTTTCAATTGTTGCGGTTTCCGAAGCTTGAACATCGACATAGCAGAACATGGGTAAATTTAAATATAGAAGGTTTTATCACATGAACCAGTTTTTTCATATATGTTCCTAAAGTAGAAACACAGTTAGGATTTCTACTTTCTGGTCTTACCAAGTTAGCGGTTCTGTTTTAGTGTTACATGTTTTCTGATGTGTGATGAAAAATGAATACACTCATAGTCAATAGTTGATGACCTCAGGTTTTGTTTCCTTGCACATGCCTGCTCCATGTAATTGACTTCTCTTATTGACTTTCTTTTTGTTGTTTCAGTTTCAAACTACGGCACCAAAGAGTTGTTACATGCGGCCTCCTGGTGGTATTCTTGCTCCTGGAGAAAGCTTGATTGCAACCGGTAATTTTTTTTTAATATATATATATATATATATATATATATATATATTAATTATATGGGTTTAATATGTCTCCAGTCACCGGAGATAACTTATCTCCTGTGATCCAAAATGAAATCGTTTTAAAGTTGGAAGAAATGCATTTTTGTAATTTTAATTTATACTGGGATTATATTAGTGTTTATTATTATAATTTTATATATATATATATATATATATATTGGTATTTTTATTTTATTTTATTTTATTTTATTCATCATCTTGCTAGCTTTTTTCGCATTATATTAATGTTCCTTTCTTAATTTGGTGCTCAGTGTTTAAGTTTATGGAGCAACCTGAAAACAATGAAAAGTTGTCGGACCAGAAGAACAAGGTCAAGTTCAAAATCATGAGTCTCAAAGTGAAAGAAGGAGTGGACTATGTACCTGAGCTGGTATGTCCGGTACCTTCTGAAATTATATTGAATATCCCAATGACGAGAGACATTGGGTGGGTGAGAGAGAGAGAGAGAGTTGGCTAATTAGTACTTTCTGATTATTCTGTTTTCTAATTTCTGAACCCTATGCTATAACCTGAAAGTTGAGTAATTGCTACTAAAACCAGTAAATCCATATCATCAAATCAAACATGGTAGTGGCAAAAAGGTGAAAGCAATTTTAGTGGTTGTATTTATTTTAGTATTATAATTGGACATTTGTCAAATGTGGTCCCCCTTTTCGAAGGTTATGTCTCATAATGCAATAGAGCTACTACAACATTTATGTGGGGCATTGAATTGAATAGCTAATGTTTAGCATCATGATTATAATGGCTACAAACTAGTTAATCTGGAGTCATGCAACAATTTTGAAAGAGATTTGAGGATCTTAAATTAAGTAGTACAGAAAAAGATCTACTTGAATTTTCTGGTATGTCTTAACCCATCGTAGTATCCACACATAAAACAACACATTAGCAGAAATTCATTATAGAATGAGTTTGAATCTCTGGAGGGTAGGTGCTATGGCCTTGCTAACAAGAAACAATTTTCCAAGTTATGAATTCCTGATCATCAAACCAACACTGCCTAGAGGTTGCAAACAATTAATTTTATACAGAACAGAAAAATCTAAGAAAAACTAGCTGTGTAGAAAGCCCTAACTTTTTTGGTCCAATTTTTTAGGTGCATGATAATTTACAGCTTATAAGTATTCAGTTGGATATTTGCTATATTATCATTGACTGCCCAAAAACACAAGGTATATAGTTTTCTGTAAGTGTGGAGCATGGATTGTGTTTCTTTATGGTAGGACCAGATGATGCAACACTTGGATGGCATGGTAATACCAGCCTCCTCCTTACTTCTTAGAATTGGCAGCCAGCATTCTTTGATAAATTTGCGTAAGTCATAATGCACAGGCATTTCAAGACTATTGTTAATGGGATATGTTAGAAATAGTAGACATTAATTTGAATGGGTTTGCTATAGGCCCTACAACATTAATATATGCCAAGAAAATGGAATTTCAAATAGTGGATAGGAGATAAATAATTGTGTATAGGATATTTTCATGGTAGTATCAGCTTTAGTTGTATTAATTACACCTTGTTTCATTTATTCATGCTTTTGGTGATATTTTCATGGTTACTGGTTAATAGTGAACTAAATTTGGTCTTTGGTCTTTGGTCTTCTGTCATGCAGTTTGATGAACAAAAGGATCTTGTGACAGTTGAACGAATCTTGAGGGTTGTATTTATAGATCCGGAACGGTCAAGTCCTGTAAGTCAAACTTTTCTTCAAGTTATCTTGGTACATGTCTAGAGGATTGATGTGCAATGATGACAATCTGGTGTATTTAGGCTCTGGAAAAACTGAATAGACAGTTGGCTGAAGCTGATGCTGCACTTGAAGCTCGGAAGAAGCCTCCTGCAGAGCCAGGACCTCGAGTTATTGCTGAAGGTCTTGTAATTGATGAATGGGTATGTAAAATGTTGACCGTAGATTTTTTTCATTTCAATGTTTTTAATTGAATATATTTTTTATTATTCACATCCTGAATTGTTTCCAAATTATCATAGAAAGAAAGAAGGGAGAAGTACTTGGCCCGGCAACAAGTTCAAGCAGTAGATTCAGTGTAAAATGTAATTTGTTCTTCCAGCTAGTGCTTTTCTTCAAGGGAAAATATAATCAAGATATCATTGATATGATACTTTGGTTGCGCTCCAAGAGAACTGTTTGGGGAATTGGTTGGCATAACGCATTCTGATGGAAAGATTGTCGTGTGATTGAAATGATTGTCAAAATTCTTGTTCTTTGGAGGAGCAGTCCGACTTGTACATAGTAGAGTTTGTTAGTTTGTAAAATAAATGCGAGTCCTTACCACCATGTGCTTGTGAAATATTGTTGTTGAAATGACAGATTGTTCACGATAATATCATTTTTTTGGTGCATCCTTGTTGTGATCAAACTTAAATCATCATCGAATTGTGTAGTAAACAAGTTCCTCTTATTAATTTCTGGATCAAATCAGCATCTCCCCTTCACCCACCACATGCATGTTAGGTGCCTTTGAAAAGCTGGTTGAAATTCAGCAATCAGCTTGGTCAAGTCCAAATCCCCAAACACTTGTACAGGAACAGTTGAAGACACTAGAGTCATGAATTATCTATTAGAAATTCCATTAATTTCTCAAAGCTTAAGCTACTTTTCTTGGTAGTATGTTTAGCATCCTGCCATGGGTTTCAATTACTAAACATAGTGGGTGTATAATAGATCAATTGAATAGATATATGAGACATTGGTGGGTATCAAAGTGGGCAAAAAGTTGACACTGCAAGTTTGAGTTTGTCAATGATACACAAATTTCTCCAATGTTATCCTAAAACAGAACACATACTGTACATGATAGTAAGCAGAACAAATAAAACTAATTAATCAATATCATATATCATCAGGGAGCTGAAAACTCTGTGAACCTAAAATTTCATGAGAGCTGGTTTGAACAAAGATCGCCAAGCCACACCTGCTGCTGTTGAATGCTTTCCACAAGGAAAAACTAACAGTTCCTGATACTGTCTTCTTAGCAGGGAGGTCTTTGACAGTGCAGAGTTTTTCAAGTTTTCTAACAACATAGTCATTTGATAGAACACGCCCTTTGTTATCCCCTCTGGTGCAGTCAGTAACCAAACCACTTTCATATAATGCTACCATGATATCTACACCATGACTGTCCACCTTGGTCCTCAATGCCCCATTTAGGGTGACTTCCAAAGAATCTGATGTAGGCCTCTTGAAAGTTGCCTGCTTGCAGAAAATTTTGCTCAAACTGTGAAAAAGAATTCTATAAATTTTTGTTCCATTTTTTTTTTTTCTTAGAACTTAGTTTTGCTCAGCTATGAACTATGGGACTTTAATTACCTTGTTAATAATGAATTTTCTTAAAGAAGAAAATAACTTTAGTTTGGTGTGTATTTATATTCACTAATCACTATCCCCTTTATTATAGTAATTTTTTCTTGGTGAATACGAGAAAAAGTTAAATTTTATTTTATTAAATTTCAAAAGAATGAAGTTGAATTTTCTTTGATCCAACTCCTTTTGCTGAAGAAAGCACAAAACAACTTCCATAACACACAAAAACAACTTTTTGGCATTAATTAGGTGAATTTGTGGCCTCCCACTTGTTGTGTGAGATGATGATGTCGTGATTGAAAATACCTTATGTCAACATCTGTTTTGATCTACCACAAATTGTTTTAGGTTTACCTGAGGCTAAAGTCGTATACATGATGTAATGACTCTTTTGGCACCTAAATTCACGAGCTTAGCTCAAAGCCTCAAACAACAACATTAAACAAAAAAAAGTAAATGAAAAGCCAAAAAGAAAGCACTGCCAAAAGAGTTGACTTATTATTAAAATTCACAAATCTTACATAAGGTGTTCTTATTTTTTCTCTCTGAAAATATATTTATGTCATTTTAAATAAAATGATCATAATTTAGTATATATTTGTTAATTTTTTTTATTTGTTTCTCCTTCATAAAATTATAAGATGAGAGAAAGAAAAAGCATTAAAGAACAGAGAAAATATAAAAAACAACAAATTTGCACCAAAACAACACGTTAATCCTAACACAATTTTTTTTTAAATGATAAATATTTTTTCCTTAAACAAAAAAATGCACATAGAATAGAGATAAAAAAAAAAAAAAAGGAAAAAGAGGAATAATAAAAGTAAAAAAAAAAAAGGTTATACTTACAATCTCTTTTCATTTATAACCTCTTAGAATCAAATCTTAATCGATTTATGTCAATTCAATAATTTTAATTTACTGAGTCATATTTATTAATTAATTTTTAATTTTTAATAAATTATAACCGCCGGATTAACAAAAAGTTAATGACTAAAATTTAGTTATAAAAAGTTATACGCGAAAAAAAAAATGTAAATGTTACATTTATCTAGTAATAAATGCATGCATGTGTGATTACCAAAAAAAACAAAGGGCAAAGAATAATAATATTAACCTGGAAGGTGAGAGCAGCGAATCTAGGAACAGAGGTGATGGCAGAGATGAGGGCATTCTCGTCATTTAACATTAATTGGGCCCTTCCTTGGACCACAACCTGTGGGGTGAACATCGTGTCAAGCCCAAGAACCTCAACATAGGCCTTTTGCCTAACGGTCCACTGGCTCGAACCATATGGGTCCTTCCAGCCCAAATAGTCCCAATAGTCCACGTGGAAGGCCAATAGCACCACCGGCACCTCCAGCTGGAAGTCACCCCTCCCCAGCCGCGACAGCACCAGCTCCGCCGCCGGCGACGTCGCGCAACCCTGCGACGTGAACATCTCCACCAGCACCGCCACTCCTCCCTCGTCCCCCGCCTCCTCCGCCTCCGTGGAATCCCCCTCTTGACCGCCGCTGCCGCCCTTCTTGCGGAAGCATGACCAGATACGAGGCGCCATAGGTTAACCTAATTAATTAACCGATGAGTGCTGCACGTGCAAATGAAAACCCTTTTTGCACGTGCACCTCTATGTACTAGAGTAGTGTTGGGGGGTTGTGAATCTTGTGATGGTGTAAACGAGAGAATGACAATGTTGGAAAACGAAAAGGAAAGAGAGAGAGCGAGAGAGAGAGAGAATATGTGTTAATAATTAATAAATGGTGAATAGGGAGGGAAGGGGTAATGGTAACGGAAGGTGGAGAAAGAAATGTTGCCAAGAAAAAGGTGAGAAGAAGGGTTTGGGGTTTTGAATATTTATGTTTGCGTGTTGTTTTCATGGGAAAGACAGGTTGTGTTTGTGTTGTCACATGTTTGTAATAATAAGGTTTGGTTGGGTGGCACTTTTGAAATCTTTGCTATATATAATGTTCATGCTACAGCAAGCAACAGATAATTAAACTCCTTGTCACGAATCTAAGACTCGACTGGCACAACCAATTTACCCGTAAATTGGATTTTCAACCGGTTCAGTTCACGTATTAAACTAGTTATACATTTGAATTTGACTCAATAAAACCGGTTAACCCGTTTTAAACCGGTTCAACCAATGTTAAATATTAGACTTGACTTGATCAATATTGTGCCACAAATCCTTGATAACTCATCTACATCCCTATAATTATGGTTTACATAGTTTAACTGTTTGACGTGTTACATGGTCTAAATTTTAAACATGAAAAAGAAAAAGAAAACCTTAAAAATATAAATTTCCAAAAGATGAATCATGTATTCATGCTCGCATGGAGATATATAGTATCTTTTACAAAATAATCGTTTTTTATTGTAAAATAACTATTTTATATTGCAAGCTATTTTTATTATGAAAATAATTTGAGAAATAATTTATAAAAACGAAATATCACAAACACTATATAATAAAGTAAATGCAAGTACTAGTGTGAATAATTTTCTCTTCCCAAATGTTAATCCTTTGATATTTATTTTGGAATCCCCTTGTCGTGGGACACGGCCCAATATCAAAGAAACAGTAAGCCCAATGCTTCTTATCCAAAATACAAAGCAATAATAAGGAATGGATATTTGTCATCTTTTTTTAGGAAAATCATTATATCATAGATAACTATCTCATGTTGTTTTTATATCAAAAATTATGTCATTATTTCTTTTTTCTTTAATAGGTGATGGATCTCATCACATCATGTGTCTATAGTAGAAAATAACTATCTTGAACAAACGTATGTCATTTTAAACCAAAAAAGATGAACACTTTATAAACCAAGGGAAATACACTTCTCCCCAACAAGTGTTTTCTCCTTTCAATGATTCTTTGGTTTCCGTGACTGATTTCATTTTCTTCTTCTCTTTAAATGTAGGCCCATCATTTATCCTTATTCTCCTGTTAGTATGAAGCCCTATCCCCAAAAGGTGTAGCTCACTTGATAAGCAGATTGTAGCTCAAGGGTCCGATTCTGGTGGCTGATGAAATTATGAGTTTGATTCTTACGAAAAGTATTTTGAGACCGATAATAAAAAATTTCTGATTCCAAGTCACGAAAGGATTAATCTCGATTTAGAAAATGGGAATACCTGAGTTTACTAAAAAAAAAAAAAAGTATAAAGCAATAAACCAAAAGGCAAACATGAAGTGAATATTCCTGTGACTTTGTGGATGAATATGCCGAGTAAGCTGAGGTTGGCACTTGCAGTATTCAGTATGCTACACAGGCCAGGACCACTTTGTGTACAACTTCATAAAATTAATATTTTATAACCAAAGGTAGGGATAAAAAGGAAATACCAATGAATATTCCCTTTTGTGTATGAATATGGCGAGTAAACTGAGGTTGACACTTGCAATATTTATCAGTATACTACGCTGGCCAGGACTACTTCGTGCGTGGTGCTTGTTATGTTCGACCCTTCTAGCTTGGTCTGTTTGCATTATAAAATATGAAGAACCTGTGCTCAACTCGCCAAAATTCATTATTAAGATGTATCCCAAAATTCGTTAATTCAATCTCCATCTACTTATATTCAAGAAAAAAGTTTCAAAAATAGGACTGGGAGCTTGAACTTTTATATATACTTGTCTATTTTTCCTACACTTTTATATATACTTTTCTGCCACATAACTCTAGCAAAATTGTCCCAAATTACATAACACATGTACAACGTTATCTAGGATCAACAAGTGTCTGTAACTTATTACTTATCCTTAATTATCTCCGTAAAGAATCAATTCAACCAAAAAGCTTAACTTATTAGATGAGGCTACATTAATAGTTTTATATATCTCAACACGTCCCCTCGCATGAGAGCCCGCTAGGTTTGAAGGGTGGACAATGCACATGCCCACCTACCTGTGCGAAGAAAGAAATTTCAGAGGATCGAACTCGGTACACTGAGGAGGCTCTGATACCATGTAAAACACCACTTCAATTCAAAACCTTAAGATGTTGGGTTGGAGCTTTTTTAATGGTTTATATTATTTTCTAAGAATCTCTAACAAATATTGTTCATTTCATTGCTGGTTCATGTTCCATCGGAGATAGTAGCTCCAAACTTGATCCATATGAGTTAAGGAAAAGACCCACTGGGTCCATTGTTGCCAGATGGTAAAATAAAACAAGCCAATTTCATGGTGTCTTTTGGTGATGGCCACAAAAGAAGGGAATCCATACGTGGCTGATCCACCAGCACCAGCCCTTTTAATTTAATCTATTAAATCTCCACCACCATCACCTTACCTTCGATCCACATTTCACAACCTATTAGAAGCACCCCATTTTGCTCTATAATTGTGCTTCCTTTTCAACACCATTATCATCCTCATTTTCTTTCCATTACATTGTTTCTTGTGGTAAATTTGCTTTTAGTTCACCATGCTAGAAGGCAAGGCAGTGATTGGTGAGACTGACATGCTCCAAACCATGCAGCAGGATGCCATGGATTTAGCATCAAAAGCACTGGATTTCTTTGATGTCACAGAGGCAGTTGAGATAGCCGGATTTATCAAGAAGGTAAAAAAACTTTAGAAAGCTTTTGTGTTGAGACTCAATTGATTGTGAGATTATGACAGACATGGATTTCCTTTATTAGCTGATTCTTCTTAATTTGCACATTTTTGTGTGATGTTATTGTAGGAATTTGATAGGACACATGGACCCGGTTGGCAATGCATTGTAGGCACTGATTTTGGTTCATTTGTGACTCACAGTTGTGGCTGCTTTATCTATTTCTGCATAGGCAGCTTGGCCATTTTGCTCTTCAGGGGCTCCAATGCTCCAGAGCAACAGGAAAATCAGTTCTCAGCCATAGAGGCAGCTAAAGCATAATGTTCATTTTTGTGTATTGCCCGTGTTCTCGATACAAATATATTATATTATATTAGAAATATTAGCAGCATTATATTTATAAATTTTTTATTTACAAATTATACTATATACTACGGGTAGTACATACTACTTGAATATGTATTACACATAGTATATAATGTAATTTGTAAGAATTTATAAATAAAAAGTTTATAAATATAACCTACTTCTAGAAACATAATATAAAAATCATTCGTATTATGATGATTTTTTTTATATTTTATTATGTGTATGAATAATGTATAAGAGCAAATTTCAATATACAAAGCTCTTCAATTTAAGAGGATAAAGATGAAAGTTGATCGTACATAGTCTTATCTTTATATTTTTGCAAATATAATATTTTCTATGTAATCTTCCGACTACAAAAACAACCTTACTACAAGTGTATGAATGTATATTCCTTTTAATTAAGGTTGAAGATATTAGATGTAAAATGCCAATAATTTATAGAATTCATTGAGCCAATTTCAGATATATCATTTGGAGTTATAAACTTGCTTGCTCCCGAGTCTTACGTTATTGATTTGGATTGAGGAAGCTTAAATGGAGAGAATAAGAACTAAAAAGAATCATTTTTCGAAGCGGATAGAATTTTGTTGCCAATATTGATTATATAGCCATGGATTATTTTCATTTCTTCGTATTAGTCATATTTAGATTGACAAACATTTCCTTGGTATACGCATAAAAATCCAAAAAAATAATGAAGCTTAAAACTTTATAATCATGCAGTGGACTTTACAATTTAATCATCCTCAGTTTCTGTAGCTCGCTCCAATGGCACTAGTGTGTTATGCTTTGCATATGCCTTTCATTTGGAAATTTTTGTAATCTAGATGTCTTATTGAAGAGTGATAACGATGATTTTTTTTTTCTAACTTGATATAATTTAAAGAGAGTTTCCATATAAGATAAATGGGTTCATCTAATCTCATGTTGCGTAAGAGAAGATTTCTTATGTTGTAGACACATATGTGGTGGGACTCACCATTTACCAAAAAAAGAAAAAAGAGTCACAATTTTCGATGAATCTGTAGAAGATAAAATTACTCTTATGTTGTATAAAAGTAATTTTTTTCCTTATGAGTTTATTGTTTCTCTATCAACATGAGATAAAGATATCTCCATAAATCTCAAAATTATGTCGTTTTGGGAGTTGGAAAAATTAATAAAAGATATTTTAGGAATTTTATTTGTTTCTTGTTATATGAATTTTACTAAAAATACTTTTTATTATTTCTCCTAACCTCCAAAATAATGTACGATGGAGATAACTTTATCTCATTATAGAGAAACGATAAACCCTTTAATAAAAGCTATTCTTAGACAATTTTATCTCATCTTTCATAGTAGTTAGGTTTTGTTAAATAATTATGGACAATCATTAGAATTGAACTCTCAGCTTATTCTTGAGATTTTTTTTCCCCATTGTCATCTAAAAAAGATATTTCATCGATCATAAGAATGTGTAATTAGTAGTTACTAATTCTAACTAAATAATTTTTTGGCCGAGACAGGATGCACACGTTGACAGGGTAGCCACTTTTTATCCTCCTCCCTTGGGGGGAAAGGGTGTGTGAAACCACAATTTTCTTTTATAATGAAAAAAAAAATGGTTATTTATATGTTTTGCCTCATATTTTTTCAAGTGAATAGTATTATTTAATCATTTAATAACTCCTTTTTTTAATACTCCAAATAATTTCCAGAAAAAAAAGTGTTATCATTTTTTTTTCAATTATAAATCATTTCATTTTATTACACCCAAAACATTTAAATGCATTGTTTTTTTTCCTTATTAATTGGCAGGTTGAAATACAACAATATTTATTTTTAGATTTAAAAAAAAAAAAATAAGTTTGATTGGAAATAATTAATTAAAGCTCTATTTGGAAAACAAAACAGTTTAAAGGTTAAAAATCATAAAAAGATAATTTCACTCTACTTTGCTTTTATCCTTAAAAATTCGTTTTTTGTAAAGAACAACATTGAACTTGAATGAATTCTTAAAAATAACTTAAAACAGAGCAACTTGTTGATATTTGCCTTTGGTATGCATGTCCCACCCTATGTATGACTCTAATAAAGATAGACATGTCAATAAAAAATTTCATCAATAAAAATTTTCTACTTTCAGTTCCCTTCCAACCTCACACAACGTTGTTCAATCATCCGTGGCGTTTTATACGCATATAATTCGGGTCAAAGACACGGTGCCATTTGCTACTAAACTTTCTCGTACTTTTCTTTCTTCGTGATGTACATTTCTTATTAACATTTCTTACCAAGTTCAACCATAGGTGCAAAAGGAAAAGAACCATGGGACCCACTTTCTCAGTTGACACACAACTTCAAATTTTTAAAAGCATTACACTCTCTCTCTGTCTCTCATTGTATCACTCTATAAATTCCCACTATCATAGTCCATTGCCATAGATGAACTCTTCTATATAATCACCATTTTCCTTTCATAGTTTCTTGTTGTGAGAACTAGAGACAGGATTGCCACACATACTGCAATGAATTCCAATACCAGAAATTCAGCCCCATTGAGGTCAGTATATGTTATTGCTCACAAGCATTCCATATATATAGAGAAGATGTTCACTCTTTCATATTATGCTATGTTTTGATATCCCATTATCTAACATTTTTCTTTGATGTACTTAACCAAACCTGCCTCAGGGAGCAAGAGGTGAATCGGTTCAGAAAGTTACAAGAGATCTTTGACAAATTCTTCAAGTGGTTGTTTGGTGTCATTGCCTTCAAGTCTACACCTTTTGGAGAAGCTTTATTCAAAACACACCCTAATGTCATGACAGTTATGGTTTTGATGATTGTGCTCTACTTCTTAGTATGGCTGCTAGGAACAATACTTAGACACCCTAATGAGATCTTGAAGATAATCTTCGTCTGCATCATATTGGTGATTGGAAGCGTTTTTTCAATTTTAGTTTTGACCATTATCTCTTCACACATTGCTTGGTTCACTCTCATGTTATGGGTTGGCATTTTTGCTGTGATTGCTTATTACTATTATCAAGAGCTTTATAAATTGGTTGCTTGTGCAAGTTCAGATACTATAAAGAAATTGATTGAGAGTTATAAGAGACAGAGAACAGGGTTTCCCATGTAGACCAAGTGATTGTTAGAGTCTCTTTGTTTTTTGTCCGTTAGAAAATTCAATGGTCTTTTAAGTTTGATGTAACGGCCATGTGCTGCACTAAAGTTGTTTGATGAGTCTTATCGGTATCATAATGGGTCAGTTTTGGGTAGTATAACGAGTCATTAAGTTAGAGTTTATTTGGGTGTAATGTGTCTCTTAATGTTATGTTTTTCAGTTTTAGTTTCTGGTTTATATTAAGTTTGAGTCAGTTTATGAAATTTGTATTCCCTCTTCAAACATTGTGAGTTATATTTCTGCATCTTAATTTTTCTCTATCACATTTTAGGCCTTAATTATGGATACCTCAAACACTCTCTGTTTGTAAAATTTTGTCATTGTTAAGTTGTTGGAGTTATTTTTCTTCTTGTGATTTAGTGGGTGTATCAAATGTTCTGTAACTTGTTTGTATGTCAAAAAAATAAGATCAACAGAAATACTTGTTTGTTGTTTGTGTTAGAAATATGTTTGCATCAATTACCTGATCTTGAAAAAGTGTATCACATATTTCGTAAGTGGGTTTAACAGCAGATGAGAAAGGAGTTCTAATTCTATATTCTTATTTATTTATTTATTTATTTTGCGGCAAACAGAAATGACTAATGAAAATTAATAACAAAGAAGAAGCTAGCAATTTTTATGAAAGGAATATAATAACACACAAAAAGCCTTCATAAAATATAAGTTTTTAAATAAACATTCTGATTAAGTCATTTTATTTTTACGTTTTTTACAAAAAAAAAAAAAAGTCATGTCAAATCTTATAAAAGTTTATGATAACTAACATACTAAACTCGGCCCGATAATTTATCAAATAGACTTGTCTTTTTTTTTTTGAGATAAAAAAAAATGGATAAGCAAAAACAATTTCCCGTTTCGGCGGTATATAGATTTCCCGTTTAATACTTTTTTTTACGGGACCGTTTAATACTTTTAATACGCGCGATCCCTTTGCAAGAGTACTAAACCGTATTTTAAGCAGTGTGAAGTGTGAACCCAAGCTGAGATATTATTTTTTTTTTAAAAGCAAACCATGTAGATGACAAATATAATAAAAGTCTTGAACACTCCAAGTACGTGATTGTTCCACCTTAGTAAGTGGTCTCAAGTTCAAGTTTAGGATATTCAGCTCTTTTAAAAATTTAATAGCGAAAGATTTATCACCTTTATGATTCCGCCTAGCTTGATCAGATAAATAAATCTCCAAAAGAAATTAAAATCTTGAAGAAAATTCACACATAAACTTTTATAATTGTATTGTCATGTTAAGTTGCAAATTTTATAACATCATCAATATCAACATCAACAATAATTTTATCCCAAATTAGTTGGGGTCGGTGATAGATGAATAAATTTTATAACATCAAGCTCTAGGAAATTAATTAATTAGCAAAAATCCCTCCAATAAAAGTTCATTACTACCAACCCTGTTTGGTTTCATAAACCATTTACGACATGAGTTCGCTTTTTCTACAGTTACTGCAGATAAGTTATCTGCAATAAGCTCAATATGACGTCGTTTTGGAACATAAATCATAGTGTTTTTGTAATTTTAATTTATTTTAGGGTTATAATAGTCTTTATATTTATAATTTTTTAAGATTTCAATACTAAAACGACGTCGTTTTGAAAATAAATGCAGATAACTAATCTGCATTAACTACAGAAAACATTTTTCTCATACAACATATATAGATAGTTTATTCAGAACCTCCTAATAGCTGTCTCTACAGTTTTTTTTTGAAGGGGTGTGTTACATTTTGAGAATTCATTAACATAACCACATTATATAATAGAATCATAATTACTCATGATAAAATTGGCTGTGATAAGAGAGAGAAAATATATATTAAACTAAGGAATGACAAAACAAAAGAGAGGATCCACTCCAATTACGTTTTACATTTTACATTTTACTAATAAACCTAAGGTAATCCACATAAATAAGTAAACAACTATAGTTAATTATGCCAATTGTGGGAACTTGACATAAACTTTACACACATAACTTCTATTTTGCCATTGGTTTAGGTTAAGCAAAATCCACATCCATATATAAACGTAATCAAAAGTCAAAATCATCTTGATTAGGCTTTGGTGAGGTTAACAAAGCTGTATAGAGACGAAGCCTGTCCTCTTCCCTAGAAGTGCACCTTGACACAGGCCTACGAGGCCTTATAAAGGACAAAGATGTCAAAGTCAAACGGTGCTTATAGCTTCTCCAAGCCAATTGAATGGCCACAGCAGCCCAAGTTCTCCAACCAGGTGAGTAATACCTGGCACTTCTCTTAACCTTTTCCTTCACAAAAGTGTACCTAAAATGTTGGGTCACATACTTCACATCCTCTGCTTCAAGCCCAAATGCCTCAGTGGTCTCAAGTGTGACCAAAGTGGATGAAGATGCTGGAAGGCGTTCTATAAAAGGCCTTCTAAGACACCATGAAAGTAGCTCGTCCCCACTGAAGTTCCCTGGGCCTAACATGCAGCAACTTTTCACCCCCTCACGTAGGACTTGGCTGCTCTGAAGGTGACCCCTTACCACAAATAGCATTCTTTGAACTGGGTCTCCCTCTCTTGTTATCTACATCGTAATAGATCACATACATAATTTCGTTGTTTAAAGTTAACAATTTGCATATTGCATCTGTGAAATATGCTATATGATATAAGTTAGTAAATGTTACAATATAGAGGAATTTAGAGCTTACAGTTTCTCCCTTTGTGAATACAAGGGACTTCACACGGTCACAAATGTTCTCTAGCACCAAATCATCCATATGCTGAAATAGTGGCACCTGAACAAAAAATAAGTCTTAGCATTTAAGCCCTCTTTAACTCCATGATTTGGGTTTGGGCCAATTGCTCCCTATATCTTTGGGCCAATAGTGGCTGTTCTCAAATGGCATTGGAAACATCTATTTTTAATTTATTTTTTTCACTTCCTTTGCCTAATTAATCAATCAAATGCTGATCTAAGTAGTTCTTGACATTTTGTTGTGGTCTATAGAGTACAAATAACACTTTAGGAAGAGAATTGTGTGTTAGTTAGACATATCCAACACTATATAAAGACAAAAAAAAAACATTTAAAATTTATATTAGACATTTGATAATTCAATGTTTAATAATTATATATATCCGTGTCGGGTTGCCTTGTGGTCCAGCATGTTTTAAGCTTTAAATATGTATGATAAAATATTGTGTATTAAGGAACTAACCGCATTGCCACTCTTCTAAACCAAATTCACAGACTATATATATAGGTTTAATATCTCTTATAACGGAGATAATTTTATTTCTTATACACATGTGAAAATGTGTGAGGCCTATATTTTTTTTCTCTTTATTTTCTTCAAATGAGCCCTACACACTTTTATGTGTGTATAAGAAATAATTTTATCCCCTATAATATGAAAAATATCAAACTCTATATATATATATATATATATATATATATATATATATATATATATATGGGTTCGCTTTTTCTACAGTCAATGTAGATAACTTATCTACAGTGAGCCCAAAACGACGTCGTTTTGGGATGGAAATCAAGGTATTTTTGTAATTATAATTTATTTCAGGGTTATAATAGTCTTTTTCATTATAATTTTTTAATTTTCAAACTCAAAACGACGTCATTTTGGGAGTGAATGTAGATAACTTATCTACATTCACATTAGAAACATTAAATCCACATATATATATATATATATATATATAGATGGATTTTATAATTCTCAAGTTACATAAGAATTGAGATTTTATGTTGTAGAGATAAAAAGTATTTGGACCATATGTTAGAAAAAATTATTGTAGGACCCATGTCAGCACGGAAATCGAAGGATGTGTAGGAAGATTTGAATTCTCATGTTGAGTGAGAATTATAAAACTCTTTTTTTGGAGTTACTCAACCCTAATTATCTCTTTGAGACGAGTTGGCTCCCTCCGGTATCCCCACGAGCTTCGACTCTTTGAGCCGGCTATGGGACTAATCCGGAGTGCGGGGGAACAGTGATGGCTAAAGGTTCAGCCCCTCCCCAAGAAAGAATTATAAAACTCTATATATATATATATATATGAGAAAAATATTTCACCGGCAACTTGAAATAAGTTTATCTTCGACCACCCCAAAACTACGTCGTTTTGTTTATTTTTTTCTTTTATTAATTGATTCACCTTTGAATGGTTATAATTTCTTTTTTCTCTCTTCCTTTATCATCATTGATCCATCTTTGAGAAATATAAGTCTCATGTATGTTTATATGTGTATAAGAGATAAATTTATCTATTGAGAAATAATAAATTCATAAATCAAAACTGACCAACTTTTTAAAACCTTACCTGTCTCACCAAATCCAAACAGAGATGGTACTTGATGTCCCTTCTTAGTCCCTCAGGGAGATTTTTTGTCAATTGGAATTCATCGACCCCACGCATGGCAGCCCAATGTTGCCGCTCGTAGTTACGGACACGCTGCCGGAATCCTTGTGGCAAGCGCCTTTTGCTCATCCACCATTCAATGTTCCTCATCTTCAATTGCATCGCTTGCTTCTTTGATGTTGTTGCATGTAAAAACACCTACCAATCACCAAAAAAAATGCAACCAATCTAGCTAAACAAAATGGTCTATGTAAAAGTAATAAATTAATTAACCGTTGAATATTTTTATTATTTGACCCCAAATTTAGCTCGGTTTATGTACCTTAATGTTTCCGATCAGCATAGTGACTAGAAGAAGGCCACTAGTCAATACTATAATGTTGAAAATCACTTCTATGCGTTCGGTTGTACTCTCTAGGTTCCCAAAAGTGCTGGCCACATCAATCAATGATTAAGAAAAAAATGGAGTAACTCTGAAGCAATCATAATATCAAAGTGGCGACACATAATGTTGATTAAATAATGTCTTACTTTTATTTTGTTGAGAATTAGCATAATATAATTAATAATTGTCACTCCAAGATGAATATATGTGTTTTGGATAATTTCATAAGCAAGTGGGAAAATGGTCCTTGAAGCAATGGGATGGATTGGAAAATCATAACCAAGATTCTTAATTAGATTACTGTGAGAAGACCTACCACTAATGAAATTAAGTTGAATGTCCATTATAAGTGAGAATGTAATTAAGTTGAAGATTGAGAATGTAATTTATATTAATATAAAATAATTCTAACAGAATTGGAGCCGGTTATTCTTATATAACAATAAGAAATCTTACAATCAATTTTAGCCACCAATTCAATTGTATCTAATAACTCACGTAATTATAAAAATTAAAATCATTAGATATAAATAGAATCAACAATCAAAATTAAAAATATATTGAGCTAGCCAAGCATATTAGGCATATTTTAGGCGTGGGACCAAGTAGACATATAAATGGGTATGAGCCTGGTTTTTCTTTTTTCCTTTTTGGTATTATGGGCCTGGTTTTTCTATCAAGCTTTTATTAAGAGCTGTCACTATACAAGAGATAACATCAAGAAAGAGCTACATAAAGGCAAGCAATCAAACAAAAGCTTCGTCAAAAGAATACAAGACATAATTGAAAAGCATATGCGAAATCATAAGACATATATAATAAAGCTTATGCGAAATCATGGAGGAGTGGACCACGGGATGAGAAAATGAAGTTACCTTAGAGTCATTAGGCCCCAGAAGATAGGTAAAAGTATCTTTTCCAATCGGCTATCATTTGTTACAAGTTGAACAGTCCATTTATAAACTCCATAGTCGTAGTTATCAGGGCTATCTAAGCACGTAGACCTTGCTTCCCTATTCTCTGCCCATGCCAACCTTGTTTTGTCTCTCACCATGCTAGTGGTTCCATAGTATATAGGTTCTTTACAACACAGCGTTTTCAGGCCACAACCACTTGTTTTCCCACATTGCTCTTCGAGGCACTTCGCTGCCCTTTGGATCCCCAGCAAGTACCAACATGACCCTGCTGCCTGTTTGACCATACACAAAAAACGAAGAGTTACCATGTAAATAAGCTACCATGTTACTATGTTTACGGGGAAGAAGCCTTAACTGAGGACCCCCAAAGAGTAATATTAATATGATGATCATGTTGGTAAATCATGTGTGAGTGATAAAAGTCAGGTATCAGGAAATGGACTAAGCAAGAAACAAACGAGTGAAAAAATACCACAAATTTAATTTTTAAAGTTTTAGGTTAAGGTTATCCAAAAAAAAAAAAAGTTGTAGGTTAAGATGTGGTATTGATCTGCTTGTGGTTTGTCATGTAGCACATTAAATATGAAGGTCTCTATGCTTTGGGCTTCCTTGCATGTGTAATAGTCTATTCTCTTCATATTTGAACTTGAAGACGATGGTGATCTACTGACTCTCTTGGCCTAAGGGGACCCAGGACCCTAATCCAAAGCCTGATTAAGTTTTGAAAATATTCTTTAACCTGAATTGAAGGCAAATTGTAATAAACTTACGGACTACTTTTCCAAAATAAATCTTAACTATTATTACCGTGGGCGTTTGATAGAAGAGAAATTTTTTTGTTCCTGAGACTAAAATGAATTTCTCAGAAATATTACCAAAAAAACTGTTTGTTAGGTCAAAATATTCTCAGCAGTGTTGGCTCAAGTTTTTTAATTCTATATTTGGTTGATCGTCATTTATTCCTGGCAATGTGGTATGTGGGCTGATTTTACAAAACAAACCATTGTTGAAAAATTTTAAAAAAATTCTGATATGCCACAAATGGGTCAAAAAGAAGCGTTGGAGATCAAACTCAAATTTCTCAAATAAATTTGACTGTTCTCAAACCAGAGCAACCCCAAATCGTCTTCAGCAACCAAGCTATTACTAGGAGTGGTAAACGAACCAGGGACCTTTGGCTCTGCTCGTGAAAACCTGAGTTTATATATCTAAAATTGATTGTTGGAACCAGGCTTGGACTTATATAAAAGCTCGTTTAATAAAAAGGCCTCAGGCTCCAATTCAAAAGCTCGACCTTAGAGTCTCTCAGGCTGGCCTAGTATATTAATTTTTATTTTTATTTTATATTTTTTATACTACTTGTAATAGCCCTATCTCTCTCCTCAATCCATTTCATCCTATTTTATTGGTTAAACAGACTTTCTGAATGATTTTGTTTTATATAATGTTATTTGGATATACATTAAATTTATGAATATTTATGAAATTACTAGTATTGTTGATTGTATATTATGTTTGGATACATTTTTGTTGTCTAATTTTTTTTTAAAACAAGTTAAACCAGACTTTTATTTTTTGTAAATAAGTCAAGCCACAGGCCGATAATTATATTCATAACAGGTAACAGGCTTGGTCAGGCTGACACATTTAAACATAGACTTAACCTTTAAAGACCTAAGTTCGGCTCGTCCCGTTAACACCCCTAGCTATTACCATCTGCATCGTTCTCATCCACGAAATTATTCTTAACTCCGAAATCGTCTTCAGCAACCAATCGTTCTTAATCGATCTGCAGCATTTAGTCGTCATCTTTTGCAATAAGTCTTCAAGAGCAACCCTAAATTTCGCAAACGACAGCACGATTTTGTGAAGCAGAGTATCACGACTAAGATTTTAAATAGATAGGATATTTTAGTTATGAAAATATTAAAGCAAGGTTATTTATGTCCTGTAGATTATGTAAAAAATTTCCACCAGTTGGGAATCCAAGAATACCACCCACCTGGTGGTATTATTTCATGGAATTGTTATTCAAAATTTTAATTTCCATGAATCTCATTTTTTCAAGAAAATTTTAAGAATCATTATACCAAACGTGGGTAACTAGGATTCTCAATGTGAGTTTCCCGGAGATCCAAAATTTATCCTTACACCAAATGGCCCCTAAAAATTTTCCCTAGTAAATAATAATCAACTTTCCTAGCTAGCATGACGATCAAGAAACACACTTATATATGAATAAACTTTTTTTCATAATGTGTATATTTATGGGATTGGATCCTCTAATGTGTAATCCAACATGACTGGATATAAGGGCATTTTAATCCTTCGTGAACAAATCAATGATGAGGAATGAGAGATAAAAAATATTGAGATGAAGAGTGATAAAAAGATACTATTAATTTGTCCATCAATGATTAAAATCGTCTTCATTTGCAGAAAAGTTGGTGAATGTTAACTTTTAACTTTTGACTAAAACTCCCTTAATTATAAGCCATAAATGTTCCACAAAATTTTGTACATTAAAAATAAAAAATAAAAAATCATACATTGTTAACTTTATATAGAAGGCATAATAGCCATCAGGATGGGCATGGGTAGACCCAATTTGGGTATGCAAATCCATTTTGAACAGGTTCGAAACCAATTTTTGTTCCGAACCGATTTTTAAGCTAATTCTTTTGGTTGTGTTTAATTCTAAAATTGGTTTATAAGACCAATATGATTCTCAAGACTCGACCGGAAAAATTCGGTTCGGTTGCTCACCCCTTATTATAGCCAGTTTATTTATATGAGAATCATTGTCCTCCTCGTGTGTGTGTATATATATATATGAGGGAAAAATATTTCTCAAGCTGTTTGAGATAAATTTATTTTCGGCCACCCCAAAACTACGTCGTTTTGATTATTTATTTCCTTATATGTATTGATTCACCTTTGAATGGTTATGATTTCTTTTTTCTCTCTCTTCCTTTATCACCATTGATCCATCTTTGTATGGTTATGATTTAGTAGCCGGAGATAACTTTATCTCCGGCAACTTGAGAAATGATAAGCTCATATATATATATATATATATATATATCAGAAAAATATTTCTGCAGTTATTGCAGATAAGTTATCTGCATTTACTCTCAAAACGACGTCATTTTTTGATTGAAATATTAAAAAATTATAATTATAAAGACTATAATAACCCTGAAATAAATTAAAATTATAAAAATACCATAATTTCTGCTCCAAGATGAGCATCGTATTTATCTGTAGTAAGAGCACAAAAAGCGAACCCTGTATATGGCATTAAAAGAAAGATGTTACTTACATGGGAAGCCACAAAATACGCGATCATGTTGAGGGCGAAACCCCACCAAACGGTTCCAAAAATGTACCCAGAGACGTATTGCATGCTACGCAAGAGGCAAACTGAGTGAAAAATTTTGGGAAGGTATTGAAAGAGGAACATGATTAAGAACACTGTCATCACCGATGTAATTGATCCTTTCTCCAACAGAGAGGGAATTGCCACCCATAGCACAATCTGCAAAATAGAAATAATAAAATATAAATTTTGGTTTTTACACCTTTGTAATTTTTTTCTACTGAACTCTGCTATTTCTATATGTCCTACAAGTAATAGTATTTAAAGCAAAACACAGTATGACATTAATATGTTCGGGTTTAGTACGTGTTATCTTAAAGGACACAAGTTGTATGTCATTTTAATGACTTAAATAAAGTATGATCGATTATATTTTGTATAAATCATGTGACTAGGGAGAAAAAACAAAAAGTAACTCTTCATATTTACACTAAGTATGACCAATCATACTTTGTATAAATCATCTAAAAAGACACAAACTTGTATCCTTTAAATGATACTTTTTTTTCCATATTTGAAAGCAAAATTCTATCCACCTTTGTCTTTACACAGTTCAAAAGATGTAGCTAACATCTTTCATATTCTTAATTTTCATTAACTTAAAGTAAAAATGAAATTTAAGAAATTTATTTCAACTCAATTTACCCCTTACGGACCAAACTTTACATCCTTAGGCATTCATTGTTTTCGCTGTTTTTTATTTTTTTATTTTTAAACGATGTTCACTCACCAAATTTTGTATATTATGTTTGCACTAATTAACTCCATATAATTATTCAGTTAATAGCGTCATTAACTTGTTATGTGATTAATTAAGAAATTAATCAATTATTTTTGTTAACTACATAATATATACTTTGTTAACAACAAATTTTACGCCATTAACCAGTATAGAAATAATATACAGTGTACACATATTAGTATTATTTTTTAAAACATATTCTGCACCTTTTCAAACTATAATAATATAAAAAGGTTCTGAAACTAAAGCTTCAACAGTGAACAAAAGTTAGAGCAACTGAAATTATCGTACACTGTATTCAGTATTTTCGCAGCATTAGTCTTCGGGACCATAAATGAAAAAACATGCAGGTTTGTACTAATGTGCTAGAAAACCACCTTATGTTATAATAAAAGAGAAAGTAATATTTATAAAAAAAATTATTATAAATTATATTATATATTTTGGAGAATACAGTTATTTGAGAATATATTTATCAGAATACGGAATACATAACATAATTTATATAAAAGTTTATACATATAATATATCCCTATAATAAATTAGTTCGAAACAAATAAGCCATAAATAAATCTGTATTTTTTGTTTTTAGTTGATGTGGGAACATTGTTATTAATTAAGCTCTTGCCATGTCTAGTAGAATTTGATGAAATACCCTTTTATTCATTTATTTATTTTTTGTTAGCTTCTTTGTTCAAACATTTAATTTGGACAAATATTGAACTGTCTAGAAATTTAATAACAATTCACATGAATTTATTGTTGCCCAAAATTTTAACATAATATATAACAACATCATTCATCACATGATGAAGTGTGTAATGCTATAGTAACCATCACAGTCTGCATGCATAAAAACAAACGGTTTCAATGTTTCATTCACTTGTCGTCTCCTCCTTCACTTCCTAATATACCAAACTCTGAACTTCCCTCCTCTCAAATTAACATTTTCTTAAAATTAAAAAAAAAAATTAGTAATAAAAATGTGACAAGAAAAAAAAAGGTTGAAAAAAATAAAACAATATTGATCTAACCTGGGGCAGAGGAAGGATGAGAAAGAGGTCAAAGAAGAAGCCCTTTTTGGCCTTAAGGTAATGAAGAGCAAAAGAGCCACGTGTGGTGGTTGTGGCAGTGTCTCTGATGGAGCGTTTTGCCATCTGTAGTTGCAACCACATGTTCCAGAGGTGCAACGTGTCCGTCATGCACCGGAGCACCGTGACGGTGATGACGAACCACCCATCGACGAAGAGACACATACACGTGTCGCTTATGGAGAGCGTGTAGAAGAATAGCGGGTCCACGAATAACCCGGTCGCGCAAACCAGCAGGAATATCCGGTTCCATTCTTGAACCCATTTCGCTTTCGGGTCCAACAGAACCCGACCCAGAGACCAACCTTCTCGCCGGGAACCGCCGCCAGACCAACACTTCCCGTTACCAACCATCTTGTTGGGTTCTAATTTTTCCTCCTCGCCGTTAACATTGTTGTCGTCCTCGTACTCGTCGTCTAGGTCGCTGTCCCTAACGTCGTCGTTGTCTTCCTCATCGTCAGTGGTGTAGTAATGCATGCGTGAAACACGTGAGTTAATAGGGACAGTGGTGGCCATGGAGGAAAAGGAGAAGGGGTGTTTTGGGTGAGAGGGGTGAACAAAGATTTTTAAAGGGGTGAAATGAAACTATGAAGAATGAAGTATTGGGAATAATAAGAGACACAAATAATTGGAGTAGGTTCTTCAAAAATAAAAATAAAATAAAAATAAAAATTAATCGAAGTAGGAAGGTGCGTTTGAGTGACGTGGAGGAGAATCATAGGAAATTGACTATTGTATTTTTGAAATATATGACGTTGCACTCTTCACTCCTCTTAATGTCCCCTTTAGAAGTGTACGTTTTTTTTTAATGTTTTCTTGGTTTTTCATTAAAAAATTAGGCAAAATGTTATCAAAAAAAAAAAAAATTAGGCAAAAAATTATGTTATTTTGAGTGAAATAATTGTATTTTGATATATATATTTATTAAAATTTACATTCTAATTCCTTCACAATATTCTATGTTTCTCTCTCATTCTAATTTTGTAGACGGGAGAATGTAAAATTTCAATAAATATACATCAAAATATGACCATTTCACTTCAAACGACACAAAATGATATTCGTTAAAATGACATATATTTTTTTCAAATAATTATTTGAGGAATTGTTTTCTAAAATTATTTTAGGAATGTAATGTCTCATATGTGTTATAAAAGATAAAATTATCTCATACTTACACATAAAAATTTGTGGACCCATATTTTTTTTTCTTTTTTCTTTTCACATGATCTCACATAAACTACACATATTTTTATACCTGTATAGGAGATGATTTTATTTTCTACAGCATAAAAAACATCAAACATTAACATATACGAAATTTTGTTTAAAAAATTTTGAATTAGGGGGGAAGTAACGCTATGCAACCCCCATAACAGAGATTAATTCCACACCAATTTAGTAGGGAGGGGGGATATAAAATAAGATTTTGAAATTATAATTATATGTACGAATAACTCAAAGGGACAGGTTATATTTATAAACTTTTTTATTTACAAACTCTTACAAACTACACTATATAGGACCGGTCCTACATAAGTGTAATTGCAAAAAAAAATTGTAAACGAATCATGTCCCTAACTCAAATATACCATCACATTAACATGCAATCTGAAATCTACCAGCCGTCAGATCTTGTTCGGTTCGTGCGTTACAATCATGACCAATATTAATCATGTAATTACGTTCGAATAATGTTTGTTGCACTTGATAAAAAAAAACAAATATTCGTATTAAGAATAAGTCATCATATTATATTAGTTATAATTAAAAATAATATATATATATATATATGAGAAAAAAATTGGATACATTTTTTATACCTACATCTTTGCTAAATGTGAAAAAAAATTGGGATTTAAAGAAAAATATAAAAAATAAAAACAAAAATTTAAATGAAAAAAAACAAATATACCCACTTATATATATTCGCTGCATTCAAAAAAAATTCGGAGACAAAGACAGCACTATCCGTTAGTCAGGTCAGTGCTTTCCTTCCCAGCCAACTGAAATTCAAGTATCAGAATCATAACGAAAGAGATACTCCCGTCTTGTCACCCATGAGCCCACATTACCAGCTCATTATTTAAGTGTTTGGGAGTTTTTTTATTTATTTTTTTACTTCTTATAAACAAGAATGAGGTTAAATAATTTTTACAAAATTTCTTATAATAAAAAAATTTAATTAAAAAGTTATAAGGAAAGAATTATTAAGAGGAGTTTTTTTTTTTAAATTTTATCAACTTACTTTTAATTTCAGCTTAAGTAATTTTCAAGTTAAAAATTTGGGATAACTTTATTTTCACCTCTTGTAATTATATGATTTATCCTTGACCTCGTGTGATTTCAAATTTACCAGTTAGATCTATTGTAATTGTAAAAATATATCATTTAATTCCTTATGGTTTCAAAATATTATGTTTATTCATTGTGATTATAAAAATATGTCACTTAAATCCCTTGTGTTCCTTATATATATATATATATATATATATATATATATATATATATATATATATATATATATATATATATAATATTTATTTAAAGGTATCATATAGGAGTTTGATTCACAATGAAAATAAATATTTTATTTTATTTAAATTAAATTCATTAGATGATATACGTTTAAATCTTGTGGTCTTATGTTTTTATCGTAAAAATAAATTGAAGTGAAATATTACTTTATTTTGAATAATATTCTCAATTTTAAATATAACTTTTTAGAAAAATAAAAAAATTAAGATAATTTTTAAAATAATTTCAAAGTAAATGAATTTAAATATTTTTTAATTTAATCATTAATAATTAATTTTATTAAAATTTTATTTGATAATATCATAATTATATAAAATAAAAATTAGAAAAAATAAATAATTTTATATTCATAAGACCATCAGAGTCTAAGTAATATATTTTTGTTACCACGATGAGATAAGTGAAGGTTTAAAATCATAGAAAGTTAAATGATAAATATATTTAACCACAAGAGGTTAAGTGATATACCATCAAATCACAAGGAGTAAAAATGAAATCTTTTCTAAAAAAAATTATGATTATAAAATAGCTTTTAACTTTTTTTTTAAAGTTCTTTTTTGAAGCTTTGGTTTAAAAATAGTTTTTAACTTTAAAGAAATGTCAAACAGCTCTAAATTTGCGAAAAACATTCGGAAGCTGTATCTAAAAGAGTAACAGCAAAACAATAAAAGGAGATAATAAATATATTAAATTATTAGATTTCATGTTTATGTAAGTTTTTTTTATAGAACATTGTGTAATACAAAATAATTTTATTAAATAAGTATTAAGTGATTTATAATAGCGAAAATTATTATATAATTGGCTACGTTGTTCCAATAATATTAATTTCTGCAATGTCCATCAGTAAGAAAGCATAAATGGAGGTCTGTTTTCTCTAGTAGAGTGAAGTACGTTCATCTTATGATAATTGAGGAGCAAATGATAAGGATCAAAATTTTCGAGAATTAATGTACTGGCCCAGGATAACTGATGACAAAAGGAAGAGGTCATGGGCTCGGTTATGGTTATGGTTATGGTCGGAGTCTGTCATAGTAACAATAAGCTTAGATGATGGAGAGGATGATTTATTTGGTCAGGCTGAGCCTTCTATTTATAGGACGAGAAAGATTTTCTCTCAATATAAGAAGTGTGATGCTTTAATCGTTTTAGTCTTGTGAGATCCACCATAATATGAAGCTATGTAACTTTTGGCACAGTGGCGGATCTATTTAGGGGCAAATGACTTTAAGTCCGGACACAAAAAACAAATAAAGAAAATTGTCAACTTTCCTGAAGTACTGGGATTCAAACTTGAGGAAACATATTGAGCACGTCAATTGCTTATTTGGTTGGAATTGGTCTCGAAAATGAGAAATTAGAGGGGTCTTAACTAGATATCCAGAGACTTTGGGGATGCGAGTTGATAGAAATCCAAGGTTAGCTACTGCAACACTGGTAGAGAAACAACCTTATATTCTTAGATTTGGGCTAGAGGAGAAGTTGAAGCCAAATGTCAAATCCTTGAAGAGTTTGAAGTTAGGTGAATATCATTTTCCTCTATAATTGCTTAGTATCCAAACATTGTTGGAGCTGACTTAAAGTCAAAACTAGCCAACAGGAGAAGTTTACTTATTTTCTTTTCTTTTCTTTTCTTCATTATATTCTTTTATTTTTTAATGTATTTAAAAATTTATTTAAAAACATATTTTCTAAGGACAGCACCGGCCACTAAATCTGCGGACATAAATAAAATTTCCTTAACCTGTCACTACACTAACATTTATTAAAAAACGTGAAGGAACACGTGTGTTAAGGGAGTCACACGCTTCATGACTAAGGCCTTGTTGAGCAGCTATTTCCAGTTCAGAATATTAAGCGTCTGTTTAGATCCTCTCTTTTTTTAAGTTAAAAGTTTCTTGTAAGCATAAGTTAGACCAAATAAGTTTTGGAAAAAGCTCTTACAATGAAAAGCTCTTTTTTTTATAACGAAGAAAAAAAGTTGAAAGCTAAAAGTTAAAAGCTTTAGGAGGAGTTTTTTTTAAGCTCTTGTCTGTTTTTCTTAAATTGTATGTTTTTTTTTTAATGAAGAGTTATAAAGATAGCGAGAGATAATTTTCTTGAAATATGTGCTTTTAAGCCAAAAATTTTATGTAATTACCAAAGTGTTTTTAGCTTCTTCTTTTTAAGTTTTTTTTAGCTTTAATTTATAACTAGCTTCTAGCTTAAAATAGAGAGGATCCAAACAAGTTCCAAGTATTGTTAACTCTCACAAATAACACACTGGACTGAAAATAGTGGAGTAGTTATGTAGCATTTTCATCCTGTTCATGCAGAATTTAAAATTATTAACCAAATCAATGTTATTCTAATTTTTTTTATCAAAATAACAGTGAAATATGCGAGGGGTCATGTGTGTTTCAGTCGCATATATGGGGGTGGATGTATATTTGTGCGAGGGACAAATCGGTAATCGTCACGTGATGCAAAGATTTAAATAGTGTAAGGTATACGTGTCTCCATAGAAGTGTCTTGCAATGCGTCACGTGATGGACCCAGATTAATCCCTATGTAAACACGTGCATACCCCTGACATGACTTAAAATGTATTATTTTGACAAATTATATTAAAATCACATAGATTAGGTCAAAATATTTATTATTAATTTACATCAAATGATTCAAAAATCCTAATTTCGCTTTTTAAATTTAACATATCTAATACCCGATGCTAAAGATCTAATCCACTCAAAAGAGGCAAAAGTTTGTTTACGAGAATAGCTAAGTGTGCGTTATATATAAAAGAAGGGATAAATATTTGTTATTTTAAATGACATAACTTGTGTCACTTCACTTTCACAAAGAGGTGGGACCCACACATTTATATTTTTTTGTTCACCCTCTCCCCTCCTTCATCTATCTCTTTCTCTCACTTAAAATGACACAACTTTACATCTTTTAAAATTATACACAGTTTTCCCATAAAAAAAATATTATGT